GATCCTCCAACGGTGGAGCTTCGCAGGGGCGGCGACGCTGGGAGGTGCAGCCGAATGGGAAGGTGAGGGGCGGCCGGATCCGCGGGTGCTGGCGACGAACGGCGGCTCAGCGGCGCACGGTGAGGCGGGGCGGGGCAGGAGGTGGCAGCGCGCGGAGGAGATGGGATTGGGAGGCAGGGTCGTGCGGGTGGCCGGGCTAGTTTTTTTTTCTCCGCCGTACCGGTTCGGGCTGAGTTATGATGAGGACTGCGGGTTTGTTTATCAAAAATCACAGGGGCTTTTCTGTAAAAATGCTAATGACGTACGACCAGAAACAGTAGCTGCTTTATTATTAGGGAAAGATAGGGAAAGATATGAGACTCAAACAGTCGAAGAAAACATACATATATTTGATTGCTTTTTTTGGCCGAAGCAGCATATGTTTGACTTGTTGTAATAATGTTCTACAATTTCAGCCAACCAGTCCTACACGATATGAATTTGCTCTGCATGCGTTTTCTGACTTGTTGATCGATCATAGGACAAAGATGGAGTGCTCGTAAGATAAACGGCTATTCTAGCTTGATTTCTTGTAAGTTAAAGTGTTCTGGTTTGTGTGTTCAGATTCAAAAGTTTTATTTGTAGATTAGACAAAAGATGTGTTTTATTGACAAAATTAGACTAGACGAATCGAGTAAAATGTAGCCATCGCTAATTAGGTAAAATGTAGCCTGTTAACATTTATTTAGTCAAACATAGACAAATCAATTTAGATTAACAATGAATTAGGTGATCGAGTAAAATATAGCCGTCGTTAATTAGGTAGAATTAGACTCGACGGATGGAGTAAAATGTGTTTTGTTTACATTTATTTGATAGATCTCATGGGATAATTAGGAATGCAAGTAATGTCCCGGGGAGATCTAAAGCTGTAATAACGGTTAAACATTCAGGTCATTACCATGATAAGTGTTTCTGTTGAGTAAGTTTGGTATTGTGGGAATGAAATTAATTAATTACTGAAAATGTAACCAACATGCTTACACACTTTAACAGCCACTTAATAACCGTGACTTAAAATGTTCTATAAACAAGTTGATAAAAAGAACCGCCCCATAATTAGTATTTCGAGAACTACATTTATCTTCTTTTTTTGTGGGGAAGTACATTTATCTTAATGAACAAAGGTTCGAGATGTAATGCTTCGTCATTACCAGGGTCAGATTTTTTTGTTGCGCATGTATACCAGAAAACGTATTCTGTACGAAGATTAGGTGTACATATAAACTTAAATAGGACTGGAAGAAGCAATCAACGATTTTTTCCTTGCGAGATTAACAAGTCAGTACTTGACTGGTCAAAAAGTTCCTAATCTCTTCGTCTCAAAATAACCTGATTAACACATGTCTGCGGGTGGAACATGTCTAAACTCACCGAATAATTTTTCTCCCTGCTTGTAGTCACATCAGCTCGTCACATGTGCAGCCCCAGCCATGCTGTTGCCTTTACCACGGAACGCTAGTCAATGGACTGTAGTACTACTAGCTAGATTCGGTACCTGCTGCTGCCTGCCTGACGCGGAATACACGCTGTGGCCAGCCTCTACGAGGGAACAAGAACCGGAAATACAGGGGAAGCTCGGATCCCCAAAGCATGCCAACGGACTGGATAAAGTCCTACCTGGTGCGCGGCCTCTATTGGGCATTTTCGGTTCGCCATCTTCTATCACGCGGACGCATTCCTAGGGCCATTCCACTCCATGCCGCACGCCATCGCCACCTGCACCCCAACGAGCTCGGCAACCATGCCCGCATGCGCTGCGCAGCCGTCAGAGTTAAACACGATGTAGACATCTTGTCCGGTTCAGTACACGAGTAGTTGCACATGTCCGTATAGGTTTCTAAATCATCATTGTGTAGGAGACTATTACTGGTTGGCTTAGCTTGTAGTATATCCCGAGCAATCCTACATCCACGTAATGATTTACGTAACTTTATGAACAGATTCGACATAGAAGTGTTTGGTACGGACTGGACCAACGGCAGCTCCACGTTAGGCAAGTTTAACAATTTTGACCCGTCAACGTAATCAATTCACAAAATGAACTACCCACAAAACTAATTCACACGGCTGATCTTTTGAGTGGCGCCCGACTCGCAGGCACTACACCCTGTGATGCAGCGCCTAGCTCCGGGGAATTGCACATTTGTCCACCGTGACAGCCCCTGGGCCCGCACCCAGCAGTGCAACGCCTCCGAGCTAGGCGCCACACATGTAATGTGCAGCGCCTAGCCCTTAGACACTACACTGTCTGTTACTAGTTGGCCGGCCCCCTTCCCCGACTCCCCCCACATACACCCCAACCCCCAAAGCACCCTCACCCGAGATTTGCCTTCTCTCCCCCTCTCAAATCCTTTCGTAAATCTTCTAAATTTAAAGATTTTGTCCGTGAATTTCGAACTCAAACCCTTCCTCAAGGTAATCTCTCCGATCCCTTTGCTTTTATCCACTAGGAGGCATGCGTGTTCTGTGAGTATATATGTTCAACAAGAAGTTGTGCTCTTTTATTGAGAAATTAAAACAAAGTTGTGTGGGCATGGTTGTTAGCGTACGTGGGCTTCAACAGATGATCGGTGGTTCTCCTGGCACGCATGGCGTTTTTCCAATGACAGATGGGGCCCACATAGCTAGAGGGAGGGTGCTGTGATGTTTGACGAGTCAACCAAAAAAAAGAGCTATACGGTGACCCAGTGACCATATAATCACCTGAAGTCATATATAGTGACCGTATTATTCGTATTTTCAAATGAGCTTTTGACATAAGTTTAATGACCGCGGGTGCATTTTACTCTTTGAAATA